TCTTTTGTTGTTAAATTTAATTACACACGAATTAGCGAATAGAACAGCCAAGTAATTGTGAAAATGTGGTACACAAAATGTATTTCCCGAGTAATTATTATTTTGTTTACGAAAATACCAGCAGGAAAATAACATGACAATTAAATAAAATTGGATATACATATTAAACAATCTCTATTTAGTGCTGTTACCACATGTTAAGCTATTATGTCCGTAGACAAAAATTTTCAGTCTCTCGGAGTCTTTCAGCGTCTCTGAGAGCGTCTCTCACAGTCTCTCAGTTATTGCCTAGGTGTTTTTATGGATCTCTCAACTCTCAACGATAAAATTGCTAATTCAAAGATTCGAGCGTCTCGTAGAAAGACTGGGATCTCTGAAATATGTTCAACTTTAACTTTAATTTTAACCATGTCTATCGAGCTACCACTTATTGAGAGATTCGAGTCTCTCGTTCAGAGATTCAAGTCTCTCGTTCAGAGATTCAAGTCTCTCGTTCAGAGACTGGATAGGAAATGAAGATCTCTCTATGAGCGACTCGAGTCTCTCGTTCAGAGACGCTAAACAGTTTTTTTGACAGTCTCTCTCAGCGACACCAGAGAGACTCGATGAGAAACGGAGACTCGAGTCTCGCCTTCAGATACTCTGAGAGACTGTTCATTTTTATCCCGGGATCAGTCAATTATATTACTATCGAATATTCTCAAGTTTTTGAAAGCCTCTCCTAACTTTTCGTATACATATGTATGTATCTTTTATCTTGTCCATCATAACAACAAGCGGCACCTCTGATGTATTGATTGCCCGCGGCTTTCGCTCACAATACATATGTACTATACATATCAAAATTTGAGATGCCTGTAATTTGTAGGATATTCAGTTTTCTGATTATAAATAAATGCTGAAATATTTTTTTTTTCGATTTTTGCAGGTCTGCTTTGGTTTTACTTTTTGGAATTTGGTCTCATGGTCATGTCACTTGAACCTGGGGTGAGTAACACTTTTAGTTATGTATTCAAACTTTATTTCTATCGCTATTAAAACCCAAATTTTTCTTTGATATACAAACATCCTAATTTAAAATACACATCAACAATTAGAAATATACATAGTACTTATTATTTTGTCACATTACCGTATGTTCCCAATTGACTCGAGATGCCTCTTTCGCTAACAGTAAATGTCCAAAACAATCAAATTAAAGAAGCTTTAACTTAATAATTAATGTTCAAGCCTAATCACAGTTACCTATATAACTACATTGTTGTTAAGGAAACCGATGTTTTGTTTTTTATATAAATAAACAGCGGGTGTGAAACAATCTCCCCGCATGTACAAGTTCTCAAAAATATTCATGTGCTTTTGTATAATACGTTATCAAATAATTCAACGTGTTAAATTAATCACATTGGAGAAAACATTAGTGAGTGATTTTAAAAAAAAATTACTCAACTTTAATCAACAATTATAATTCGGTTATCAAAATTTTACATTCCAACAAAACATTTATTAATAAATATGGAGTTCTAAAATTATTGGTGTTACGTATCCAAATACTTTTTATAGATTAATGAAAACATCACCATTTGACAAAAGGCATTACTGTTAAAAATATCTGCTGTTACTAAACCAATAAAAAATAACACTCTTTAAATACTTTGTTTGTAAAACTTAAACTCTCCTAAATATTAATTCTATTTTGATCTTCCTTTGAATTTAAGAATCCGTTGGATTAAAAAAAATACTGTTCGTAGACATTTTTGTTTACGAGTTTTAATATCGGAAATGTTCAACGATTATTTATGTAAGGTGTGGTCATTCAAACTTAAGCAGTAATAAAAAATCGGTAAGACTTTACCCGCAGTTTATATTTTTTTAAATCGTATGCACAATTTCCTGAAATCACAGTTTGCAGTGAATTTAAGGTGTGTACTTCATTAGAATGCCACTAACTTTCATGATTTCAGTAACTTATCAGGTCTAAAAGCTTGCGTAATGTAACGTGGTACCAGAGTATCAAATTTATTTAACCACTTCCTTTAAGTTCCAATTCGCATACTTTCGTTTTCATGAAGCATTAGTCACTTTACGCATTACGCATTTAAAAGCACACTTACAATTAAGACTTTCCAAGATGACAAAACAAGCCGTAAGCTTTTGTTGGACTTTTAACATTTCGATTGTTGTAGTCACTCAAGAGCAACCCTAGGTATATATACTTCGTGTATATATATTTTTCTTCTGGAAATATTTAACCAAAGAAGTGATTTTATGATTTTTAAGTAGTTTTCGAGTAGATTTAAATAATCGAACCAGATCTATTCATTACATTGGCTTTGTGATTTAACTTTTACTTTTTATTGACAAATAATTTTTACCTACACTGGAAAACAGAAGCGATGAAACGCATTTCCGTCTTTAGTAATTAAAATTGAAGTTGTATACGAAAAGAGTGAATAAAAAGTAGATTGTAGGCAAACGAAAGATGATAAAGATATTACCCAAAATATGGCAGTTACCCTTTTCGTACGAATACGTTAAATTCGTAAAAAATTATTAGAATATTCCTAATTTCGTATTGAACTAACAAAATTGCATCATAAACGTAAATTCTAGTACAACTGTGCAATTTATTAGGAAGCTGTAGGTGTTGAAGGACGTGTCTAATTTGTTTTTATGTTTCTACGTCGTAGTGCTCGCATTAAGTTGGAGCCATTTCACTTTCTTCCGATACATTTAATTCCGAGATAGAAAGTTTAATACGATCATCGTCATAATCTTGTACAGTTGCATTCCACTGTACTGTAATGTTTATACACTTGCGTTACTAATATATTTGAGCCCTTGAACTCTACATATTCAAAAATTTTATAAAAGCTGCGGCAATTAATGCTTGCTCGTTAGATTTGTTATGAACCACAGACGTATAATTCTTGTTAATTTTATTTAAAATAGTTTTTTCTCATAAAATTCCTCTCCATTTCCACAACTTAATATGCAAATGTGTCGTATTTAAATAAGTAATTTACCAATTAATTAAATCTCACGCTGTTCCAGAAAAGAGAAAATTGAAATGAAATATTTGTTATGGAAGAAAATGCGTAGCCTAAAGTTTTTACATAGTTTCTGAATGTTTAGTTAATATAAATTGTTGGCATTTTTAGTAGATCCTTTCGTAATGGTCTTTAATGAAAGGATTTATTATTTATTCGCTAAGAGGACCATGTTTTGAAAAATATGTAATGTCTCGTCTTTTGTGACAACCCTGTATAGTTTCGAGCAAAAGCAGTTATCAATGAATCTTATCTACAGTTTTTAAAAGCGTTTATGTTTATTAGAATGGATTCATCGATAAATTTTTAATCTGGTACAGAATATACTAGCTACAACTTTAACCAAATTGTCATTTGAACAGAAAAACAGCATAAATTTCCAACTAATGAACTGAACCTTTTTAGCATTTGGTGAAAATCATTATTAAGTGACTTTCCTATTTATATACTATGAATTTTCATCAAGTAAGAGTCAATTCAATCAATAAATTATCATTTCTCATACAAATTTAATGTGCATCTACTTTCTGTTTATTAGTTTGTTAATCCTCTCTTTCTGCTTCGTTTAAAAGGTAATAAATTTAATGATTTACATTATTACGATTTTACGTCTTACCACTAAGGGTGAACAGAGTACAACATCTGATGCATTTGAAATACACGGACTACTAACATCTGTTGTATTTAAAATACAAAATGCAAATACTTTTCTATTGTTTTAAACTTCCTAAGATAGAAATTTTATTAAGTTTTTAACATAAATTTGCGTTTTTAAAGGAAAGAGTGCGATATAGTCTTAGAAGTATAATAATGATATAATGTATTCAAAACTTTGTTTACATTACTTCCTTCCTTTCAAAAATGTATGTTCTTGACAACTAGCATTAGGTACTTAAGCATCCTCTGTTTGGACACAAAATAAGTCCGCCGAAGGAAAATAATTTCACACAATTTAGTATTTAATTAAATAAATATCCTCCTTAGTAGCAAAAATTGTTTAGAGAACCTATTGACTTGGACCTGTCGTTAAAAAATGTGATATATTCTAATTCATTGTGTCTGTTTCCCTCTCTCATTTCTTCGGGGTAAAAAACGAAAAGCTCCAATTCATCCGCACTTTAATAACACCCAATTATTATCCGAGCATTGAAATCTCTGTCCGGTACTTTTAGTCATAATTCTCTCTTTAATTTGTGCTTAGAAACTCATTACACGACTGCGATTATTTAATATACAAATAATTTTAGAAGTTTGTTACTATTGGCGAAATTCCAAAACTGTTTTCCTAAGAGTTATAACCAGTTTCTAATCAAGCGCCGGTAATAGAAATTTTGTTTTTATTTCGTTACTTAATAACCTGTAATTAAATTAACTTTTTCTTAATTATTTTAGGTAACAGCTACGAAATTGTCGTCATCTGTTATTGTAATAATTTTTTGTTGGATACGACATTATTCACACCTGCCTTACACTTGATCTAAAGTTTTATTGTGCATAAATTACGATTAATTAAGCAGCAGCCTTTGCAGATGCTTAATTGATATGTACTTATATGCTGCAAATTACTATCAGAATACATTGTTGCAATCCTACCAACTGGATGAAGTTACCACAGGTTTTAGACTCTTGCTGTTATTAGAAGGTTTATTGAAATAAATATAGTCGCAGGGCTTTTAAATGTGTATTGGCACTTCACAAATAACAATAAATACTGGCAATTAGACGTCGAATCCTTATTACAATAGACTATGACCTTATGATGTGTTTGTGGATTTTGTTCAATTTTCTCGCCTGTTGAACATCCCGCAATATAAAATAATGAGCTAATGTGAGAATATTACACAAAATACTTATCTTCTTTACTTCCGGATTATCCATTAGGCAAAATAGGCAACTGCCTGTAGGCCCAAAGCAGCTTAAGGACCCATTAATAAATCAATTTGATGCTGTCATTTTCATTTACAACGGTTTTAAGTTAATTTTGTTTATTTCGTGGGCAACATTCTTTATTGTTTTCAACAGATGTTTACCTTTTTTTGCTTTATAATATGCAACACTTTCAGTTGTTTTATTGTAAGGTCAGTCTATTTTATGTTACTGGTTTATTATTACATTTCGTTTAATTCTTAATTTCGATAGCTAATACATCGAGTCCCTTTTAAACGTTCCAGAAATTCCTATAAATTTTATCGCTATAGCACCCATCAATTTATTCCAAGAAGATTTTGAATACTTTTATATCTTTGGGATTCTATGGGAATATTAATCAAAAAGTTGAAAAACCCACCTAATATACTTTTAATGATTAATCATTCTTTTGGTTTACTTACACTCCCATCCATCTATTTTATTTAATATTAACCTTTTTTACGCCAGTAGGGGGTCCTAATACTTTCAATGCGTATGGGCTTAATAATAGCTTAATCCGGTCCTGTTTATCTCGAATAACTATATACAGGGTGGATCTTAAAGACATACTAAAAGGTGCTACTGTGCTCATCGACTTCGTACTAGCAAATTTTTGAAAAAACTATAGCCACATATAAAATGGTACCGCGAAAGCACTTTCACAATTATTTAATCGAAAATATATTACCGGCGTTGAAAACATTTTGTTAACGTGACTAAAATTAATAATAGGTTTATAACCGTTACCGTAGCGAATTAGTGTGAGTTGTACTTATAATAGTATTATTATATCTAATAATTAGAAGAAAAATATAGGTAACCACTTATGTTATATTACAAAAAATAACTTAAATACGAGCGTTTTAAGTTTAGTGTGTCTTTAATGTAAAATTTGATGTTTATTTAGCGTACTTACAATTACTTGTGTTTACATAATTTTCCTCTTTTTAGTAAGAACGTGTGCTCTTACTTAACGCATCAAACATTGTTCTACACGTACCCATTAGACCGAAAACGTGTACGCATTGGTAGCGATTATATGATTTGTTTATGAAATAATTGCACTTTTACATTTTTATCAAAATGTAGTTGAATAATGTACCTAAAAAAAGTAGCACAGAACATTGTTACACATTTTCCTTTTAGAAGGCATATAAGATACCTGCAATTAAGTTTTAGTGTTCCTAGAAATCGAAAATAATATAGGTCCTATTTTGATTATTAAGTAATTGGTAGTACCTACTTCGCCATCTGTAGATACTTACTGTTAATTATACTCTCTAAAAGTAAAACATTGTAGATTCATTTATCTTATGGTAATTAAACAAAAAGCCACTCATGAAACAGTTGCATGTTTTTCACACTAATATAATGATATTTAACTAAAACACAGTAATCAAAATACTTCACTATGAAATCAGCATTTTCAACTAATTCATCAATTACTTTGTAGTTTATTTTGATATAAACAATTATTTATATAATTAACTGTTCTATCGGTAAAACTTTTTTCAAATACCTGTAATAATATTAATTAATCATTTAATATGAACAAAAAAATAAGTTCATCGATTCAATTAATATTCGATTCGTTAATTAGTTCCATAAATATTCACTAACTTGCGTAAGATTTGTGAAAAGCAATTTATTTATTTTGATAAAGTAGCATTGTCTAATGTTTAAGAAAACCTTACAAATGCACCGTCTTCCTAAACTGAATCAATTTGTATAAATACACAGTAAACATACTCAAACCAATTAACCAAAAACCAAAAGTCCCATAAATGACGATTTCAAACTTATTAACCGTCATCAGCACAGCCATGAAACAAATAATATTCATGAAAATAAGTCCATTTAATGACCCCGTGCTTTATTTATCGTAATTTCGTGATAAGAATTTTCAAAACGTTCCTTTGAAAACACAATGCATTTAAGAGTAGTAATTCACATGAGGTTGTGTATATATATGAAGAAATGAAAAATTGAAAAATAGACTGGAAATATTAACATTAAAAATGCATTGATATTATTATTCTCATTTACTAATTAGTAGCTTCATTACCACAAGCATGGCAAAACTATTACTGTAGAAGTGCTGAAATTGAAAATAAGTTTAGATTTCTACCCAATAAGTAAAAATTTTGACTATATTATTACCGAAACATTTAGGTATTATTCGTTGTCGGATGTCTTAAAAAGTATTAAACAATTAAATAAATCGTTTTCGACTTTGCATTCCTTTTTGCTTAAAAACTTAAATGGACGAAAGTAAAATTAGGGCAAGGTAAAAATCAATTAACAATTTCGAAACTTATTTTTTCAGTTTTTGGATTTCGACAACTTACCGGATACAAATTTTTCTTGCGTGGGAAAAGTTATTGGAGGGTATTATGCGGACTTGGAAACCAACTGCCAAATGTTTCATGTTTGTACAATTGGCCAGTTGGATGAACCAATGGATATTCGATTTCTTTGTCTAAATGGCACCGTATTTGACCAGGTAATCTTAAAAAAATCACAAAAAGGTATTAACAACAAACTTTAACGGGGCTAACTTCTATAACAATTGGTACCATCGGAAACCTTAAAACTGCACTAATATCTACGGAAAGCTGGTCTCGTTTTCTTCTAATCTGCTCAAATTCTAAATAATAATTCTACTAATACAATTAACTAACTTCTCATGTGCATTTCTTCTTCATACATATAACATCTAACCGAAGGACCGAATATTGAAGTGCTGATGATGATAATTAATAAACTACATGACATTCATCTCTGTGTTAATGCCTTCACAATTACCATTTCTCTTTTCTTCCCTGTCTGTATGAATACTATCAACTCAAAATATCACAGTAAAGAGTATTACTACATGTAATTTCAGGTTTTAAGAGCGGTATTTTACCTTTTCCTTTATTTATAAAAAATCTTCTAAACATTTTAATATCTACTGTTTCTGTTGTTCCAGGAAACTCGAGTTTGTGAACGCATCGATGAAGTTGATTGTTCAAAGTCCGAGAAATTCTACAGTCTAAATTTGGAGCTTTACGGCAACACTCAACCCCCCCTTCTAGAAGGTAATAATTTAGCTCAGCTGGCGACAAAGGCTATTTTAATAGATTTCTTGATTAAGAATGATACTTTCTTGTAGAAACTCCGGAGACCGAGTCATCTTTTGCTTTAAAGAAGCCGTCAACTACCACAACAACCACAACAACAACGTCTACACCTTCTCCTCCGCCAAAATCAAAATCTACATCGCCAAATTACTACAACAATCATCAACAAACAACCGTTCATCCTCTTCCTAAAGAAATCACTTCGGTTCATCTTCCGGTCGGAGAATCATCCGATATTAGGTTTAATCCGTTGGAAATTAACGTTAATTTAAAGCCTCAAGCTCCTCCTATAATCAAGACTCAAATTCCAAAGCCCATTTCATTCCATCACCAAAGTTACGTAAACGACAATCCACGAACCAAAGTAACTGTAACAACTGCTGCATCTAATAAACCGCATCGAGTGCCATTATTGCCAACAGTAACTCGTCTGCCCCAAACATCCCCCAAGGTCGACGTAATGCTTCAAATGGTGAATTCGCACACTGGTCCGACGGCTCAAGATATATTCGAATTTATTAATCAGCATCAAAATTCACACGGGCCTGGCCCAACAGAAGTTAACTTTGGATTCACATTCCATGATACGGAATCATCACGTCACACAACTGAAAATCCTAATGTCAATTATCATTTTCATCACCAAGCTCATGTCGATGGGCTGAGACCTCCACCTTTAACGTCACAAGAACAATCATATATTCATTCTAAAATTGCTAATAATGATTATAGGAACGAATATTCCTCTCAAACTACAGCAAGTGGAAGAGACAATGTGACACCGTCTAAAAGACTTACTCCAAATTTCCATCAATTTAGTACGGAAAAGCCGCACGGATTACAACTGCCACTGCCCGCACTTCCCCATTTACATCCCTTGAGCTTTAGTTCGCCTGCCCCGTTTAGTTTAAATCCCCGCATTGAAAGTAAAAGATACACTCAGAACAGTAATGCCCCTAGAATAGTGATAAGTGCTAGAGCTAGTGTAAGTGATAATAATGGAAGAAGATTAAATTATTCTTTAGGTACAATAGGCGAAACCGAATTGGTTGGTGTTCCGGTACCTAACTATGAGGAATACAAAGACGATGCAGACGGTATATCTTACTACGAAGACGACGACAAAGACAATAAAAAAGAAAGAAGTAAAAGAAGCATAGAAGATGAAATTGATGACTTTATTAAAGCCGATGAAGACGGTATCGACGTTTTAAAATATCTTTATGATTGGTATTCTAAACAAGAAGAACAAACGACCGTTCCAAGTTTAATTGCCGAAATAAATTACAAGCTTGCACCTCTTGACCCAGAAATTGCCGAATCGCGTGGTGAATATGCTCTTAAAACTGTCAGTAACCCGCCCTCACGAAAACCTAAAAGTAAAACCAATTCACAACGAAAGCCATTCGTAAAAGATAGAAAAGAAATAGGAGCCGCCTTTCCCATTGCAACTACTTTCAACGACGACCATTCAGAAGAAGAATTTGGTAGTACGTTCGGTACACCGTTTGGAGGATTTGAAAATAAACCTTTCGATTTTGCTCGCGACACCGACCATAGTTTCTTCGACAAAGATAGTCAGGATAGTTTTGAAGTATTTAAAGATACTCCAAACGATGATGATTTTCCCAATCCCGATTTAGGAGATGTTGAAGAACATATCGAAAAAGATGACAAGAAAGGCAGGAAATACTCTTATAAGAAAATTGTGCTCTCCCAGGCAACAGGCGACGATGACAAGGAAGTACCACATGGCAAAAGTATTGTTAAAAACAATAAAGTTATTTCTCATGAAACATTTTCGGAATTCACTAACTTCACTGATTATGATGATCATGATGACCCGAAGGACCCGAAGATTCAACGTGAACATTTAACAACGGAAAAAGTTCCTCAAAAAGAGTTTGTCACACCTGACATTGTTAAAGTGCAGTCAGGCACAACAGCAACAGCAACACTAACAACATTTCCCATAACTACAGTAACACCACCTCTGGTATCAGTGACAACAGTGACAGCACGTGATACTACAACTTCCATGGGCACAACTACTACTACTTCCGCTAGAAGCGTAAATAGCAGAGGAAGAAACAATTCAAGGCGGCGTTCAAGATACAGAACTACTACACGTCCTCCAGAAATACAATCTATGAGCACAAAAAGAAATCGAAATTCACAAAGGCGAACAACAAGCCGCACCACAACAACCACCACCACCACCACAGAAAAGACCACAACTTCAACTGCGACTTCCACGAAGCCAAAGTATGAAAAAGATGATGTTGATTATGAAATTGACGATTCATACACCCTGTCGCCGTCAACAACAGCTTATCCAACGAGTACAAATTCCAGAACTGGTGCAACTAGTAGAACAGGTCAGATAAAAGGTTCTGTAGATTATTCTACAGCAAGAGTTTCGCTGAGTGACAAGACCACTGCCGAATATTCCACATCTACAGACGCACTTTATACAACTCAACGTTCTACCACCGTATCATATGAGGGAACAACGCCGCTTGTACCATCTAAATCTTCTCAAAAGCAAACTGACTCGAAATTACAAAATTCAGATGATTCCAGCGAAGAAATTACTGAAGACAGTTCTGAAGAGGATGACACAGAAGACACGTCTGAATCAAGTACTGTAAGTACAACAACCTTGAAAACATCTCTTCCTCTTGAAGATATATTTAACTATTTTGTTTCGACGCCTAAAATTCCCACAAACGATTTGGTGAGCTCAACAACAACTGAAACAAACGAAACAATAAAAGAATCAGACCATGGATTTGCATCAATTACAGAAGTACCGAGCACTACAGTACAAAACGACGATTATACCGAAACTGTAAAGTCCTTAATTCACGACATTGAGCAAAAAACGAAGAGCGTAGTGAATGAAAAAGATATTCAAAATCTAACAGAAATGACCACAACAGATAACACAGTTACGATTGGTACTTTGGTACCGGATACGCTTACAATATCCACGACGGAAAGTACCATAAGCAAAACAACAACGGAAATTATACCGTCGAGAAGGCATCATTCCGATTCGGGAAGAAGCTTCTCTGGGCACAGATTTGCCGTTGACAAACATAAACCTGATGAGCCACCAGTTCCTAAACTACTGCATGAATTGCTCGAATCTGTAAAACAAGCATTTGAATCGACTACTCCTTACTTCAACTACCTCAGCACATACGAAACTACTTCTGAAGAGGACAGCTTTGATTCCTCCGAATATTTAGATAATAATTTTAATCAACCGAGTACAACAAGAACAACTCTCGCAAACGATTTTATTTCCAGTGAATTACCATCAACAGAAAAACTGGACGCAGATTATTCACGTAAAGAAGACAGTACCAAAAAATGGTACTTTTTAGAGGAAGAGGACGATTTAGAAGACAATTCTACTTCGACAACGGAATCTCCTAATACTTCTTTCTCAACTCTCACTACAGAAATGAAAGAGAATTCTACAGCCTCAGTTTCTAATGAAAACCAAAGGGCTGACACCACCACTTTATTAACGACTGAGGTTACAACGGCAACAGAAACTGCCACCACTACCTCAACGACTACAGCACTTCCAAAGAGAAGAAAGCCCGGGCACCGTTTTGGTGCTACAAACAAAAGGAAACCTCCATCTCATAGACTACATCGACCCTCTTTTGGAGATTCCTCCACGAAATTTTCCCGCCGTAGAAGGCCCAACTACCAAAAAACGAAAGTCGACGTTGTCGCCAGTTATTCCGAAAATAACACGACGGAGAGATCCCGTAGACACAGAAATAATCAAAACAGTTCTGCCAGTTTACTGACAGAGCAACCCTTGTCGAAAAACGTAAGTCCTACGCAGAGTAAAGATAACTCTGAAGTCAACGTCACCCCGCCGTACTCTAAGAAGAAGAAAGCCCGGTTACGAGAAGACGCCGGTAGACAGGCGGCATTTACGTGCTTCAAAAAAGATTTAAATAAATTCTATTCTGATCCTAGAGACTGTAGACTTTTCCATTACTGCACTCCTGGTTATAGCAAGAGCCAAATAGTCGATATGAAATTCGTTTGCGATTTAGGGACGTATTTCGACGACGAAAAGTTAGTATGTTCGAAAACGAAACCCTCTAGGTGTTTATAGATTAATTAATTAATCAATTAATTTTAGCGTAAATTATGCTCTCTTGTATAATGTCTTGTTGTAAATAGTCCATTTTTTAATTGCTGAAAATACTGTAAAGCACTTGTTAAAATACTCATAGGATTATAAGAACTGAGTGTAAAATAGCTTTTACAAAATAAATGTATTTCTAAATATTAAAACAGCACAATTGTCTGTGTCTGTGTGTACATTGACTTTTATAATGCACAAGGATAATAAAAAATTGATATGTATTCACTTCGCTTGGACCATTCACATATTTATGTAAGTATTTAAATTTAACATTTCGACTTTCACAATAATTGTCAGCTACTTCTACTTAATTGGAGACGTCGGTTTTATTGCAGACGTTGCATTTACAGTAATATAAAAGGTACCCAAGTTACATCCAGTTCCTAAAGGTCAAGGTTTTTTATATTCGATAATTGTCTCTTTAATAAGAAAATACCATTCACATGCCATTCTGATTACGTTATTAAAACTAAAAATTATATAATGATATAAAAACAAAAAACAATTTTANTATATATATATTATAAATATATATCTAACCATACCTACGCATTGCTGTAAATTTATTGTTGAAATGAATCTATACTTACTTTCTTTTTATACTTTCTCATTTCTTAAAAAAGAAAAATTCGGACTAGTATACATATACATACCTACATGAATGTCATGTCGATAAATATGCTAAAAATATGGATAAGAATAAATATGGGATTTGACTTATTCTCTTTCTTTCTAGTCCGTAAAAACGAAATTTGAATAGGTACTTATAAAAAATAGGGAAAATACAATGTTAGGGTAGATACTGAATCGTGACGTCACTATTATGTATTGCTAAAAGAAAAAAATAACAGCATAAATTTTGTAGTTTTAACAGATTTCAGAATTTTCTTAGTAATTATGCAAATTTTTCGTATAACCTATTAAATTTAATAATTTGAATTAATATCATAGAATATTCCACATCTACAGACGCACTTTATACAACTCAACGTTCTACCACCGTATCATATGAGGGAACAACGCCGCTTGTACCATCTAAATCTTCTCAAAAACAAACCGACTCGAAATTACAAAATTCAGATGACTCCAGCGAAGAAGTTACTGAAGACAGTTCTGAAGAGGATGACACAGAAGACACGTCTGAATCAAGTACTGTAAGTACAACAACCTTGAAAACATCTCTTCCTCTTGAAGATATATTTAACTATTTTGTTTCGACGCCTAAAATTCCCACAAACGATTTGGTGAGCTCAACAACAACTGAAACAAACGAAACAATAAAAGAATCAGACCATGGATTTGCATCAATTACAGAAGTACCGAGCACTANTATATAAAAGCTATACACTATATTTACAGCCTTACTCTAAATACTCATTATGTTAGATGACCTTAGGTACATACACACTTAAAATATGTAAAACAATAATTTGGTGTTACCTACTCTTTATTTCGTAGTACGTTTTTATTTCTCGATTACCTGTCTCAATCTGAGGTCATGCGTATACAGAAAATTTCAAAAAAAATTATTTTTTCGAAATGATATTCACAAAAATCAATTTTATGGTACAAAAGAAATGTTCAACGATACAATAATTTTTAACTTACATTTCTATTGTTTTTTATTGTCAGACTTTTTAATATCAGCAACTGCATGAACATCGTAGTCTTCGCCTTCGCTAACGTTTGTGTCATAGTACGCGTAATCGTAGTCCTTAGGCTTCTTTTTAGGTGCGTCTGGTTGCGATCCTTGTGACGAAAGCGTTTGAGTTACTTGAGGCACACTTTTACTCGTTGTCAAAGAAAACGGCTTTGGTTTCTGAGTGGTTGTGGGTGCAGTCGATTTTTGGGTCTTTTGTAGTTCATTCCTGCTATTTGCGATGTTTGTGCTATGAGCAGCACTCAAGAATTCTTCTTTTGAGTCACTTGATGTGTCATCGTACTGAGTCTCATCATATCTATTTGAAAATCTAGGAGGCTGAGTTGTTGGATAGTATTTTGTGGTTACTTTGGGAACTGTAGGGGTGTATTGAGTGAACTGGGTGGTTTGAGTTTGTTGTTGAGTGTTTGCGGGAGCTTTTTGGTTCAAGGGTTGTGTATTTCTGTTATCAGTATTAGTTGTTTGACGATTGAAGTAATTTTGGGGGGTGTATTGGGTAGGTGTTACGGAATTGTTGTTCTGCTGTTGTTTACTCGTGGTTTGTTGGGCTATTTGTGCAAATGCGGCGTTCGTTCTTGGAGAAAATGTTGTTGGAAGATTATCGTATGTAGTTTGGGTATTTGTAAATGTGCTCTTTTGTTGAACATTGTTGTTTTTCGGAGCGAAAGTTGTTGGATAATTTTCAGTTTTCTTGGGTGCCTTCTGCTTTTGATTCTCAAATCTTGCGGTAGATGGATAATTTTCTGTCTCCGTGGTTCGAGTTTTGTATTGAGTATTGTAATATTTTTGGTTATTAAATGTGGTACCCGCTGCTGTTGTAGGATAATTTTCTCGTTCTTTGGTAGATTTTTGTTTGGGGTAATTTTCTGTGTAAGCATCTTCTTGTCTAGATGGCGTGGTTCTCCTGTTTGCGTTATTATATTGTTGAGTTTGTCTGAAAGGAGCGGGAGTGCTAACAGTGTATTGAGTGGGTGAATTATTGTTATAATTTTGTTGATTATTTTGTTTGTAAGTTGCCGAAGTGGTGGTTTTTGGACGAGGTGTTGTAGGAACGTAGCTACTTCCTGCGAAATTATTCACAAATCCTGTCGGTCTCCTTGTACTTGATGTTCTGTCTTCGCCCTGATTATTATTATTGTTGTTGTTGTTGTTACTATATTGATTTTGAACTGGTTTTCTGTTCACTTTCCTAGTTTGGAATCTGTCTCCGTTTTGATTGGCGTTATAATTACCGTCGTCATAGTCTTCGTCGTACTCCTTGCCGTTGTTCCTGTTGTTAAAGTAGTGACCGCTACTTGATCCTTTGAATATGTCCCTTTCGTTATTATTTTCGTTGTTGTTTCTGTAACTGTTGTTGTTCTTCACTTGCTGTTTTGGGGTAGTTTTTCGGAAGGGTCGTGGTTCTGGCTGCTGATTGACCTTCTCCGATTCCTTTTCTTGATTTAATCTTATATCACCTGTTTCAGCTCGTTGAAGAGCAAACACGTCTTCATCATCACCATATCTCACCGCCTTTGATTCGAACCCTGTGAGGATTATTAAAGTTTATACTCCATTCACGATTATTATTACCATTATTATAATTGCTAACACAAAAATGAATCTTCAAACACTCATTTATAAACAACTTCTGATAAAAATATTCATATTTCACTATGAAGAAGTATGTATTAGTTAAAAACATCATTTATGTATGAGTTTTATGTAATATCTACATTCTGAAAGACATGTGCAAATGTTAATATAAATCTTTTATATGCGAAATAAATATTTGTTATATAATAATTTCTATTAAAGATTATATAACAAGGTCGAAAAAGGCAAAACGAAATTATTGCTAAGGTAATTAAGGTGTTTTTCTTTTATAAATAGCAGTTAAGTAATTGCTAAATTCGTTTTAAAATTCTAATTAACTAATGCGAAATTGACAAATAAAATTAATTTGAAACCTATTTAATGCTCTAATAACAATTTGCCGTATATTTAGGATAAATAATTAGTCTGCATGTTATTATAAATGAATACAATTTTAAGTATTCTTCTAAAAAACTCAATTAACTTA